TTACCAATCTGGTGGGGAAAAATCAATATGGGTTTTTTCCAAATTGTGCTTAAATCCCTTTTATTGATGCAAGCTATCAATTGTTACTTTATTTATTTTTAGGGAGTAACCATTTTTAAGGTCTATTTGTACACTGAAAGAAGGAGGTAGAGGAAGAAGAGGAGGAGGAGGAAAAGTGGGAGGAGGGGAAGGAGGAGGAGGAAAAAGAAAGAGAGGGAGGGCGGAAGGAAGGAAGGAAGGAAGGAAGGAAGGAAGGAAGGAAGGAAGGAAGGAAGGAAGGAATAGCCTAGAAAAAGTAATGTCTACATTGTGCAATGCTTTATAGTCATATTAAATTTATGAAGTAGTGAAAAACTTTTTAAAGTTCTAAGAAAAAGAAAAACCGGGGATAAAATGGGGAAAGTGAGGATGGACTACAAATTTGAAGCATTTAAGTCTCAATCAACTTAGACAGACTGAAAGATTCTCAAGATATATAAATTGGGTCTTAGAAGGTACAAATAGAGTTCTATGATGACCGGGGCCTTTCCAAACCCTGATTGAAAAAAATAAAGAAATAATTATTGTATCTCTATATTTTGAAATATGAATTCCAGCTGTGAAAATTAAAACTGTTTTCCTCCATATAGGTGGAAGGAGGAGACAATAAGTGCAACTTTTACACTAACAAAGCTGGATATAATTTAAGCTGTTGTCAGCTCTTTAAAAAGTGGGTGGGAGGCAGTGATGAATTCTGTCCAGGGAATCCTTCATTAAGTGAAGTTTATTTAGATATCCTATAAGTGGGAACAATGTTTAGAATAAATCTTGCTTAATAACACCTATTATTAATCCATAATGTGTCAATTTCTTTGCAAGAACCATCTGCCAGCTTTTAGGAGTATCATTTCCAAACTGTTATCTGCATGTCTGTTTTCTGCAGTACTGACAGTTTCCATTATAACTGGATCATTTTCTTTTGAAAAATCTTCCCTTGAGATACTTTGAAGACAGAAAGGTGTGATGATAGAGAGGTCTCACTTAACAGGCTGTTGAACTGTGTCTTCAGGTATCTGAAAAACAGATTTTCAAAACAGTGTCTCTTTATAAAATATTATTAATTTATTAATATCACTATAAATGTTGAGGAAAGTATATTCAGAAAAGATCATGAATCTTGAAATTTCCCAGGCTTAAAATAAAACTAGATGCTATTATGTATTAATTTATTCATATTTAATTAGGCCAACTAAATATGTTATCAATCAAAGACAGAAAATTGGTCGCATGTGCCAAACGTTTTTCACATCACTAGGGAAAAAAAAGTAATGACATTTTTAAAAATCTCAGCCCAGCTGTCTAAAGAAGGCTTCAGTTCAGCTTCAGGCTTAGCTTCAGGAACTTAATCTCTTCATTTTCTATTTTATATTCCCCCATTCCACCACAAATCCCAAATTCTGCTTGTTTACCTGCTTTGTGATTGTTCGTCATTTAATTTCTAGAATTGGCAACACTGCACTTGATAATGCTAAGATATAATGAAGGTGTAGAGAAAGTGTAGACATCTACTATTCAGTCTGGTTCATGACAGCTGATTGTTAAATTGTTCCACCCTTTATAGCGAAGCCCAAAACTCATATTTTCCCTGTTCTGTGTGCTGATTGGAGTGTTTTTGACAGAGATCATATTGCACATGAATAGACAAACTTAGAGCATGACAGGATTCAGCTCCTGGTTTTTCTCCGCATGTATCTTAATTCTAATTACATTGAAAATACTGGGACTTAAAATGTTTGAATTAATATAACTTACATTGATTCATTTTAACAAAGCTTGATGTGTATAAAATTGTAGTTTATGCATGAAAATATTTCTCAAACCTGTGCATGTACATATATGCCTATCTTGTTCAATAATATTCTAACTACAGAATTATATTTTGTGAACCTAGTTCTAATCAAGATTGTGGTCAGTGAATTTAGGATTAGAACTGATAGTTCTTTAACTAGTAAAGCTTTTAATGTTACCATTACCATTAGCTTTAGTGACCATTTTATTTGTTAGTTTAAATTTAGAGACTGTCCATCTCACTCACAGAATGACTCTTTGTAGTGTATAATTAAAAGATAAAAACCATATAAATATTGTATTCCAATAGAAGGCAATTAAAATGACGATATAATTAATGAAGTTAAAAGGGCAGGAGAAAGGCATTCAAGGCTCTAACCAACCCCAAGGTTGTATGCTCCTCTGTGGGCCCCAAGTGAGATGGTGGTGAATCCCAATGTGGCCACTGGACACAGGACAGAGTAGACATTAGCAATAGTGGAGTCATTTTAAAATGTCACTGAGTCCTGGACCCCCAGGCCTGCTGATATAGCCAGGTCTTGAGGGAAATTCAGAACAATAAAAGCATGGAGTTAACCTCTCTTTTGTGATGGATTGTGCCTATGAAAGGGAAAGGTGATATGATAGACTACAGTAATGTGGCAGTTTCCCAGGAAGGCAGAAAACAGGGAAAAACAAGAGACATCTCAGTCCTAAACTGGATCAGAGACAGAGGAACAATGTTAGGATAGCCATTCCCTAGAATTTCCCAGGGGGAGAGTAGTATAAGTTTAATTTGGCAAGATTCTAGCTATATCATATGAGCAATGAAAGAACTGAACTTTGGTTGGATTGTTCTATGTTATCCTTGGGCTGGAACTGACACTTTGGGGGCAGTCATCATGTGGACTGCCTAGGACTCGCCAAGTGTAAATCTGTAGCATATGGAACCATCTACTCCACACAGAATAAGTATTTCAAGCTTTCCTTTGAGTAAATCAATCCCAACCAAATTTTCTAATCTTTTATTATCAAAATGTGTCATTCAGGTCAAAGAGAATTCTTTATATGGCAGATTTTTTTTCTCTATGACATTCCAAAACCATTGTATTACTCTGTTTAACTTAGTTAAGTTCTGTTGTTTTGATCATTTTCCTGAATTTGTGATACTAAGTTGATGAGAAAAGTTATTCCCATTTGGAATTTTAGTAATTCAGAACCCCTATGTTGTTAGCATTTTTCTAACTCATTTACTTTTTTATCCTGGTAAAATAACAGAGCTTTCAGAAGTACTTTCTGACTTTACTCTTGATGAATTGCCAGAACTGGTTGCTGTTAAATTTAGATTACACCCTGGTGTAGATGGCATTAAATTTGGTTTATTTATTTTTCAAAACCACCTTGTTATTGATCAGAGAGGATTATTCAAGAAGCAGATTTTGACAGATGGTACCTAGTTCTTCCAAAAAGCTGAATGCCATTTGACCTTTAATTCACCTGCCTTCCCATCACCATTGATAAAGTTCAATTTATATGCCTCTTACCAAAAAAAAACCCCACCTTGTGTTATCTCTACAAGCTCCCAAGATGCATTATGTTTTCAGTAGTTTCATTTTTCCAATTACTTCATTAAAACTCTATTTTGTGTTTCTCAATGGTTACTAAACAAGAATATTCACTTTTTTTTAACCATAGAACAAAAAAAACTATTCTTTCCAAGTTAAAAAAAAAAATCATAACATTTAGAAACAATATTTAGCTGCAGAAAATCCTGAGTCAAATTAACCATCCTAAATAAACAATTTGCTTGTCCATTTTTAATATTAAAAGCAAGTGTTTCATAGTATTAAACACTCTTTAACAACAGTTTCATTAAGATATATTTTTTACAGATGCCATTTTGCTTTTCAAACACAAGTTCCCAGTCAAACTTTTGAATGTCCTGAGAGACTAGTTCATAAATGAAGTAAAATCAGCTGTATCAGAATTCATTGTTCTCATTTTTTTTTCCTTCAGAAACTAATGTACAAATTTAATATACAGTTTGGTTCCTATGTGGCACATTGTTTCCAATGTACACTGAGCAGATTGAAATATCTTTTGAACTATGTTTTTTAGAAAATTAAAGAGCCACAGAACAAAATCTACAAGCTGGAACAATGGACAATGATATATTAATGTTTAATATTAATATACTATCAACAAAAGTCAGAGAAATGGTGTTTAAGAGGTAAAGAAATTGCAGACAAAAATACAAGCATTAGACTATTATAAATAATATTAGACAATATTTTAAAATAATAGTATTCAGTCTTGTGCAGTCCCTTTTAACATTTCAGAAGCAAATCTCAACTAATTTTAAATCTCAATGACTAATTTTGATATAACGACCATACATCTTTTTATTTAATATTTTGGCCATGGTATTTAGTTTTATGATTGTTGCTGTTGGGATCTATATTGTTTAAAATAATTATCATTTCCATGGATGTTTTAATTGTTTGGATGTTTTTTCTGATTTCAGGAAACCACCAGCAGTGTGTATACAAGAGAAAGTAGCCTGAAGCTGTCTTAATTATTATTCATGAGCAGAAAAATATTTGGAAGACTTTAATAATAGGGAGAACTATTTACTGAGCCTGGGCAAAATGATTGCACTCAGAATTGGCAAAGAAAGTTATGCCATGGAGGCAACACTATTCTTTCCTTTAAGGCACAGAAGCAACACGATTTTCTTCCTGGAGTCACTTTGTCTCCCTCATTATCTGTCAATTTCTGTAGTTGACCAGGACTTTCATTTACACCACATGCTGAAATTAAAATACTGTTTATTCCGTTAATAAATAGCAAAATTTGATAAAAGATATTGCCAAAGTAAAATCAAAGAGATGAGATAAAATACTAGCACAACAAAGATAAAACAAATACAAATGTTACATAGACTACTATAATGATGTGTTAATTACCTGTGCAAGTGTAGATCTAATATATTACAATATGAAACAAATATATATATATTGCCTAATACTATCAGATATATATTGATGGTCGTGCTCATTTGGTTCTATGAGGAAGTTATTTGGTTAATACAGTTTCAGGTTCAAAAGGTTGATTTTATTATTTACAAATATATACATGCATACGATAATGAACAGGGTGTCCTGTTCATTTTTTACCCTAACTGTATGACTCAGATGTTGAGAGGAGAGAGAAGTTCACGTGTTGTCCCGCTGAGAGATAGATGAGAGAGAGAGAAAGAAAAGGGAAGATATCCAAGTGGTTTCTAGGTAAGAGTCCAATAAGAGAATTCATTGGCTGATATAGTCACATGTGATGTCTGTAAAGGCTTAACCCCTTCTAGTCTCTGGTGCATCATATGCAGGCAATATCTGACAAATACAAGATATTAGCATGCATTAAACCTAAAATGATGGATAAAACGTAAATAGTTATTTTTGTGACCAGTTATGCTTCATTTTCATTGTGGAAACACAGAATTTGGCTACTGCCACTGATTTTAAATCTTCCAGAAGGTGGCTCACATATTTCGTTCCTGGAAATGTATATATTGCCAGCAGAATATAAACAGGTCTGGTGGTCTTTGTAGAATTTACAGTGTAATAATAATAATACATTACTCTTTAACAGTTATTTTCTGTAATTAGTAGTAGTCATCTAAATACAGTGAAATGCTCCTTTATCCAAAATAGTATCTTCAGCATCTTACTCTTCTACTGTATCAAAGCAGGAATCTAACCAAATGCGCTATGGAACAACATTCAATTCCCTGCATTCAGCAGGGCATTTATAAGGAAATGAATACTTTTGTAAAATATATGCTTGTGATTTCTTAACTTTCTATAATGAAATTCTTTAATTAAAGAGGTATTATGGAACTACCATCCATAGGACAAATGCAGGTTTTTTTTAAAGAACAAAATTAAAATGTTTTGAATTCTGATGAGATCTTGGTCCAATCCACACAGTCCAGTGACAGAGCAATGAATGCAAACATACCTTTTTTTTGAGGAGATACGCAGGTGATCTGCATCATTGTTTCACATTAGTAGTATAAATTGAACGGCTTTTTCAGTAAACAGTTTGGCAAAAGATTTCCAAAGCATGAAGTGGTTAAACAACATATATAGCAATGCATAAAACCAGTCACCACACTGACAAATAGAACATACTGCAATTACTACCAATTACTGCATACTGCAAAGTGATTTAAAAGAAAGACAGAATATTTTTCATAGAATATTTCACAGATGAAAGTTCAGATTCTTTTGTCACACTTACAAGACTTCCAAAACTCAGGGAGGACTCACTTTCTGGATATGCCTCCAATAAAAGATGGTGAATATAGAGCCAAGGCCATTGAAAAAATAATGCTCAGATTTTATTCAGCTTTGAGAATTGTGTGGCTATTATCTCAGACAATAGTTCTGTAATGACTGGAAGCATCTGGAGTTCTGAGCTTTTTCTGAAGAAATGAACTGTTAAAAAGGTATTGGTTATATGTACCATTTAGCATACCGAGCAGTAAAAGGCTCATTCTTTTCATCCGCATGATTTTCTAATAGATTTTGATTATAGTACAATTTGGGGGAAAATAATCCCAAAATTTCAAGGCACTCTAGTCCACTGATTTTTCAATGAAACAATATACAAGATCATGTTTCTAGCATGATGGTAAGCAAGTTTTACACAGTTCAATGAGGCCTCGACAGTCAAATAGCCTAATGATTTTCATATATAACTCTAATAATAATAGCAAGTATATTTTGCCAAAGTGTCACAGAGGAACAAATTACTGATCTGAAACCTAGGACAGTATATTAAGTATTCGTTCAAAAAATTGGTACATACATTGGACACACTTTCTACATTCAGCTATACTTCAGTATACTTTACATTTATTATTATTATTATTCCAACAGAAGGATTTTATAATTAACTATCATTCTACACTGATATGACATACTTTCCTAAAATACTGGTTATTTTTTATATGAAGATGATACATTGTCAGTTGATAGTATTCAGCAACACTTTTAGATGTCAGACCAAGATTTACTTACAGCTTCACTGCTTAATAGTTGATGAAGAAATTTGAGCTCAAATCATTACCTGAAATTGGTAAATTCCATATTAGGGTATAAGAAATTCCACTGGAATTTGTGTATGAAGCAAATTTTCAATGGCCCATACTGAAGGAAACTATTGCATTTAATTCTATAGGGAGAGATAATCTCAACTGTAATTGACCACAGGTAGTCCTTGACTTGTGACCACAATTGGGATCAGAATTTCTGTTACTAAGCAAGGAACTTTTTAAGTGACAATTTCACAGACAATTTTTTGCCATGGTTAAGCAACTCACTGCAGTTGTTACACGGTTGCTAAGTGAACCTGGCTTCCACAGTTGACTTTACTTGTTGGAAGCTCTCTGAGAGGGTCATAAATGGCAATCATGTGAGCCTGGAACACTGCAACTGTTGTAAATACAAATTCTGATTACTTGACCATGAGGATGAAGCAACAGTCATGACTTTTTTTCAGTGCTATAATAACTATGAAGTTGTAAGTCAAGAACTAGCTGCATTTTAAAATATAGGTACGGATATATTATCACAGAGAATAAAGAATTCTATTTGTATGTAAATCTTATAATGGCAAATTTTTATCATGTATGCACATGAGCTTTCACAAAGTTAGGGTTAATCAGTTTTATTATTATTATGGTTGGTTGATCAGACAGATGTTAGGCTGGATTTTGCATTTTTATCCACCTAGCCAATGTTGTGGTTTGAAGGTGTTAAAATATTGTTGCAGGATGTAAGCTGTTCCAAGTAAAGCTGTCTTTTGCAGTTGACTAATGTTGACTTTGTCAGTGCCGGTGGTGTTCAAGTAGTACTCCAGATGTTTTGGGATTGTACCCAAGTCTCCTATTACTTTGCTTTCTTTTGCCACAGTTGTTCTACTTCTGTTTGCAGGTATTTCTCTTTCTATTCTGCTGTCTCCAGTACTGAAATTTCTACTATCTAGACCAGTGGTTCCCAACTTTTTTTTGGCCATGCCCCACCTAAGCATCTCTAAAATCCTGATGCCCCTCCTGTGACATATAATTCTTACTTTACTCAAAAAGTGAACTCTACTCACACGGAGGAAGCCTAAAAGGCCATTAACTTGGTTTAAACAAGATTCAAATTGCCCCCATTAAAAATCAAATTGCTCCCCTGTGGGGCGTGGGCCCCACGTTGGGAGCCACTGATCTAGACTTTTTTATCTTCCTTCCTTATCAGTAATGTCAAGTTTGGGGCATTATGAGGCAACTTCTGGTTTGTTTGTATTCTAAAATCCCAGAGTACTTTAGTTTCTTTATTTTTTATTACTTTGTCTATATTCTGGTCCCACCAGTTCTTGTTTGCAGGCAGCTGGTATTTCTTGAAAACCTGGGTCTCCCAGTCCTTGAATGCTACTACAATATATTGAATTTCTGTCTAAAGTATAACATTCAACTACTTGGCAATGAGTTTCCATCACTAGCCTACACATTAAACTTCTGTAAAAGCACTTTCAAGCATGGATAGAAAAAATATAATCAACATTATAAGTTCCTGAAATAAATCAGCCAAAAAATATCCTGGAGCCAGAGCTGATGCTGAATACACAGTTATTAGGAAGAGTCTTTCTCTATAATGATAACATCCAAAATCAATAATATTTAAGAAATACAAACTATTACTGCTTTAAAAGCAAAGTCTGCTCTCTATAAAAACTTGTAGACAAGTAAAAAGCTTAAGAGTTTGGATAGATGACCATGATGAGTTATGCTTCAGATTTAGTTAAACTTTCCATCATTATACCAGTCCCTCTATGCTTCTCCCACACTGGCCACTTGCACATTCCCTTGTTCCCTCCTTCACCTGGCAGCAGTCACTTACATACCAGAATGAAAGGGAAGGGAAGGGAAGGGAAGGGAAGGGAAAGGAAGGGAAGGGAAGGGAAGGGAAGGGAAGGGAAAATTTCCAATACCCACTGCTAGTCTTCTGCAAGGAAACTGAATGGGGAAGCCAATAGAAAGTCAGAAGTCTCTCCCACTTTCATTGATTTTTTGCTCACCCATGGTCATTCTGTTTCTTCGATACACATTACACATGTGGAACCCATTACCCTAAAGTACCCCAACAACTGCAGGGCATATTTTCCAAGCAGGCTCTGATCCAGTGGTGGGTTTCTACCAGCTCACCTGAACTGGGACGAACCAGTAGCGGCAGCAGGAGGAGGCTCCACCCACCCACCCAGATGTCATCACGGATGCTCTGTGCATGCGCACTCGCACTCACAGTTCTGAACCAGTAGCAAAGGTAAGTGAAACCCACTACTGCTCTGATCTAAGTAGTCAGGTTTATACAGTCAGAGGAAAACAGTCAGAGGAAGAACTCAGGTTTATACAGTCAGAGAAAGATGATGTTATGTGGCATGACCTTGGGAGACAGAGGAAAGAGCTGCAACCACAGCAATGATCAGAGAAAAATCAGCTTAGTCTGTAAAGGAATGTGGGCATGACAAACATTTCAGAAGGGGCCCTCTCTAGTTTCTTGAGATATAAGGGCAACAGGGAGAAATGTACTTTTAGACTTGCAAGATTATATTAATGTAACCTTACAATTAAGTAGAGCTAGTAATTTTGTTTGTACTTCTTGTCTGTCTGCCTGCCTAATAAGGCTAACAGATTAGGGATGGGTTCTACTTACCTTTACTACTGGTTTGCATCGCGCCCGCATGCACATGTGCAGGTCAGTGGGCAGAGCCTCCCGCCGGTTTTACTACCGGTTCTACAGAACAGATCCGAACCAGAGGCAACCCACCATTGTAACAGATACTTGGGCCTTAAGGATTTTAAAGATCAGTTCCTGGTAGGCAACTCAAACCTTTCAGTATAGATATCCTGTGATTTCTGCACCTGTAACTGCCTGACAGTTGCAAATTTTAAATCATTTTAAAATCATTTTTCAAGGATAGCGCTATACATACATATATACAGGATAGGCTGCTACTGGATCCAACTGGTTCAGGAAGGGTTGCAATTTGTTCCACATTATGCTCCATATTATGCAAAAAATACCTTTTGTCACAGATTCCACTTGCAAATCTAGGAAGGATGATTCAAGAAATGGTGAACTTACTCTTTCTGAAAGAATACAATCCTTGAAGGAACAGGGGTTACTTCAAATCCCAATTGATCATCCTTTTTATCTACAGTATTAGAACCTGTATCTTTTCTGAATTTTAACCTGTTCTGCCTCACACATCCATTATTTGTTTTTAATTTGTCTGAATCCTTTTTACATGGTTTAATTGTATCTAATTGTATCTGTATCTAATTATGGTTTAGGTAAAACCATAATTAGATACAGTTCTTAAAACAGTATCTCACTAGTGCAGAATAGAATGGAATTATTACTTCTTGTTATTTAGAAATTATATTTCTACTCATCCAACTGAAAATGCTTTTGATCAGCTCTAATTTTAATACCAAGAACCATTTTACATGGGCCATTACCAATCTGTATATTCTCTTATCCTAAAGCTGTGTGTCTTTATGCAGTCTGCTAACACTCAATCATTCTGAACTCATATTTTGGGATAGGTGGCATTCCTTCTATTAGGTTAGTGCCATTTCTTTACATAAGTCACGATGTTGGGACTTATCTTCTTTTACTGAATTCTACAGGATTCTGCTAATCCGTTTTACCATTAAAGAGTTATGCAGCTTTTAAGATGTTTCCTGTTTTCTTTTTACTTATAGTGAAGGAATAATATTTCTTCTTTTGGGTCTTTTTCAAACAACATATTCCTCAAAAAAAAAATTAAGAAAATCCATCTATGTAGTCATTAAAGTCCATTGAGGTACTTGAAAGCACAAACATTTAATTTATATTTTTGATGTCAATAGATTTCAATTTGCTAGAATCACTATAATAGCCTCTCTAAGTGCTTTATAGCCTAAAGGATTTTGCTTGTTTAGCTAATGTGTAATGTTGCCTTGTTGTTGTTGTTGTTCTTGTTCTTGTTCTTGTTCTTGTTGTTGTTGTTTTTGGTATAAGGATTTGCCCCAAATAGCATTCTGTCTATTTACTGAAAAATATAATTAAAACTGCATATAATTTGATGGTTATTTTGTTTGCTTCTTGTTAAATTGAAGTATACCCTTGAGCTATAGGATAAATTAATCTCCCTTCTCTTGAGATTACAAAGATATTTCTTACCAACATTTCAAGATATTTTTAAGGATAAACTGAAAGTTGTTGGTCATGCCAAACATGTACAACAGTCTCAAATCCACCCTGAAATGAGGAAACCTGAACTACCAATATATTTGGTAAAGTAAATGCAGCTTGAAGTGCTGACATCTGCTTCCTTGTCATTTATTAATTAACCAACCTTCCCAAAAATAGGCTTGCTCTAGATACGTAGAGCTTCCATTCTCAGAATTCTCAGCAATTGCCCTGCTAGCTAGAGAATTCTAAAATCCACACGATCTAGAACAGTGGTTCTCAACCTGTGGGTCGGGACCCCTTTGGGGGTCGAACAACCCTTTCAAAGAGGTCATCTAAGACCATCGGAAAACACATATTTTCAATGGTCTTAGGAATAATTTTATGATTGGGGGTCATCACAACATGAGAAACTGTATTAAAGGGTCACGGCATTAGGAAGGTTGAGACCCACTGCTCTAGAAGGTGCCAATATTATTATATATTTCTGGCATGTAACATATTTTTCTTGATGGCATCAACACTGGCATTAGTTGCTATAACTCACCTCACAGAATTGTCATTGTGGGGGAAAGAGGAGAAGGAAGGAATTTTATGTGTTGATTGCCTTGATAAAAAATATATGTATAAAAATGTATAAAATGTATAAAAATGTATAAAAATAATACAGGTGGGATTAAATAAACTCTAATAAAATCTAAACAACTTTCATATTAATTCATAATGATAGTTCATCTCTGTGAAAGAGGAAATGTTCTTTCTCTCTTTGTGTGTGTGTCTGTGCCTACATGCATACCTATCCAGGTGAAATGTTTTTCCATCTGGGAAAAAGCCTTTTGAGTTATTCCTGTCGGTAGGCTGTTTGCCTGTCTGTTGTAAAATATGTTTTAAGGCTCATCTGGTGAAAAGCAGAGCTTTTGCATGTGTTTGTATAACATTTATCACAGTAAGGTCACATCCAAAAGAGAACTTCTGCTATATAAATATTAAACTACAATAGAATATTAAACTACCATTATTCAGTATAAGGACATTCATTTTTCTTTTTCCTGTGTATTTGCAACCTTGACAGACCTCACTGGCAATGACATTTCTCTGTATCAATCTCATTAATCAGATACCCAGGTTGCATTTCAAGTCAGTAATAGTTTTTCAAGTCATTGTGGGGTTCCTTAAAACATGAAAAGACATTGCTCTAAAATGAAATACACACAAAAAAAAGAGATCTTTACATGAAAAAAAGTCTGCAAAGCTGCTTCTTACAAACTAATCTTTGTTTTTGGGATGAGATTGTCCATACGTAGCTATCTGCACACTTAATGAATGGAAATAATTAGCATGTCTGCCTTAGCTTGTATTATCTATGCAGCATTTGGCAGTAGGAATACATAATGACTCACACATCTAATAATGTGCAATGCTACAGTACATTTTTTCTGAGCCACTCCAAGTTGTTTTGGAGAGCATTCTCACTTTTATTATTATGCTGTCTTCCTTCTTTCTCTTCTTTGTTAGCATAGCAAAGGCAATCATCCAAACAGTGCAAACCAGATGGCATTATGAATGGACAACACATTAGTAATAGCTGTGCACAGAAGAGGAGTAATTTTGAACAGAATGAACAACATTGCTGGGGGGAAAATTGCAGCCACAGTCCATGGAACACAATAGGAAAGTACCAAGGCACACCTGGCAAGTCAAAATAAAGAATAATTACATCTTAAATATTTTGTGTAAATATGTTGCATTACTAATGTATAAAATGAAAGAATACTTGAGAGATAGCATAAGTCACATTAATTCCAAAGCCTAATTTGTTACAACAAAAAGAATGCAAGTATTTTCAGTCCCATAGAAAAAACAGCATCATCGATTTTGCACAATAAATATATTGCCACATCTGTTTTATCATCTGAAAAAAAAAATAATTTTGGCACTTGCATGCATCATCTTGTGATATTATTGTCATTTCAGAAATTGATATAAGAAATTAACAATACAAAAGTTTGTGTCCAAGTTTAATTTTACCACGAAACTGATTCAGAAAGCCTCCTGTATGACTTCTCTCATTTAAAATGGATGTGAAAATATTTCTGCCTTTAATAAGCTTTTGTAACTACTAGTATTGATACTGAAATATTACAACCTTTTCCTTAACTTAAGCTGTTCAAGATAAGTTGTCACTCATGTCCTTATTAGATCATACCATTGTAACAAAAGGGATATGTTTTTCATGTCCTCAAATATCATCTTTGGTATTTGAAAAAAAGGTTGTTTATAAACTATTAGCCTTGAACAACTTGGATAAAACAATTTCAGTTCTTTAGCCATCAAAATGAAATAACATGCATCCTGACATCCTGACCAGACGTGGTATTCAGCAGGTTCTGATCAGTTCTGGAAAACAGGTAGTGGAAATTTTGAGTAGTTTAGAGAACTGGTAAATACCACCTCTGTCTGGTCCCGCCCCCATCTATTCTCTGCCTCCCGAGTCTAAGCTGATCGGGAGGAAATGGGGATTTTGCAGTAACTTTCCCCTGGAGTGGGGAGGGAATGGAGATTTTACAGTATCCTTCCCCTGCCACGCCCACCAATCCATGACCACCAAGACATGCCACGCCAACCAAACCATGCCCACAGAACCGGTAGTAAAAAAATTTGAATCCCACCACTGATCCTGACCTAAGCCCCACCCTTTAGTACGGTTGTTACTTTTTTTTTGTCATGGTGCATCTTTGTTCTTCTTGCCCTCCTATGAACATCCTTGTGTGAAAGTGGCCTGATTTACTTTCTTTCTAAAGATCAGAATACCAAAATGGAACTTCTCAGCCTGGCTACACCAAAAAAAACCCCGTCATATTTGCTGGAAAGACTTTTTGTAATTATTGAGAGGTCACCAATGCAACCCTACTTTCAATCCCAACAACAAGGATCTACTTCAGAGAACACTGGGAAGATGAATCATCTCAACCTTTTCCTGCAATATTCCTTGAAAAAGCTTGTTTACTGTTACCTTAGATCAGTGGTTCTCAACCTCCTTAATGCTGCCATCCTTTAATACAGTTCCTCATGTTGGTGACCCCCAACCAGGGGTGGGTTCTAAATTATTTTACTACCGGTTCTGTGGGCGTGGCTTATTTTGTGGGTGTGGCTTGGAGGTCATGTGACTGGGTGGGCGTGGCTAGCTGGTCATGTGACCAGGTGGCCATGGCTCTGTGTATAGGGACTACTCAGAGGGCTGAAAAAAGTCATTTCTGACAGGTCCTCGCACTTTTGACTGGTCCTCACACTTATGACCATCCTCACATTTATGCCCGTGCAGCATTCTTAACAACCATGTCACTCATTTCACAACTGCTTCTTTTCACCATAGTGATAAGATAGGGCAAAAAACGTAAAATGTGAGGATAGTCGTAAATTCGAGATCTGGTCAAAAGTGCGAGGACCAGTCAAAAATAAATTTTTCAGCCCTCTGAGTAGTCCATATGCACAAAAGGACTACCCAGAGGGCTGAAAAAAGTGATTTCTGACAGGTCCTCATACTTTTGACCGGTCTTCGCACTTATGACTGGTCATCATTTATGCCCATTGTAGCATTCTTAACAACCATGTCACTCATTTCACAACTGCTTCTCTTCACCATGGTGACAAGATAGGGCAAAAACGTAAAATGTGAGGACAGTCGTAAGTTCGAGGACTGGTCAAAAGTGCGAGGACCAGTCAGAAATAACTTTTTCAGCCCTCTGAGTAGTCCATATGCATAAAAGGATACAGCAATAGAGAGGGATGAAGGAAGGGAAGGGAAATTAGAGTAGGAGTGAGGGTAAGAGAGGGAGGAAGAGATGAGGAGAAGGAGAAAGGAAGAGGAAGTAGGGAGGAGAAGAAGAGGGGGAGGAAGAGAAAGTAAGAAGGAAAGAAAAGAAAGAGGTGGTAGGTTTGAGGAGAAAGATTGCTGTACAATAAAAAAGATGAAAGGGAAGAAAGCCAACCCCAAACAAATATAAAGATATTAAGATAAAGAATGAATTGTTAAACTTTAAAGAATAAAAGAGAACAAATATGAATAAATAGCAATAATTAGAAACACACATACAAACATACAATGTATTTTCTTTTGTAGGAAGTTAGCTCCCACCCCTTTCCTGGAAGAGTGAAATATTTTAGGAAATATGAAAAAGGCAGAATATTATATTTCCCTGGGATAAGCATGTTTTGAAGCAGCTCCCATCTTCCTGCCCGCACCCTTTGTCAATGGGCCATTAAGGCCTGGGCCAGTCTATTCTACATAACAAAGATCTATCTCCTTCAGGCAGAGCCATAGTAGAAATTGCCAAAGATCCAATAAAGATAGGATTAGCCCTCTACCCATCTAGCAACAGAAAATTTTAAACTCTTGAACTCTCCTCTTTCCCCCTAAATTTCCCATTGTTTGCACCTACCTTTTTTAGTGAGGAAAAAAAAAAAGAAATCTGCCTGCCTAATTTTCCAACGTTGCAGCAACAGCAAAGCCAACAGCCTGCTTTACTTTCAGTTTCATGTTTCAGCATAGCTAGGGGAAAAAAAATCTGCTCCGGCAAGCAGCAGAGCCCTGAGCAAAACAGCTGAGAGCAAATCAGCTGAGAGTCAGGAGCCAATCTAATCAAGGGCTAATTAGCCTATGCTGAAGCTCCGTGGGCCAATAAAATTACAAAAAAACACCGAACCGTTTGTTAAATTGCTGGCTCGCCCGCCCCTCGCCCACCACTATTTATTGGCAATAAATAGTGGTGCAGAGGGGCGGGGCAAGCCAGCAATTTAACAAATGCAGAATCTCACCACTGGCTATAGGGCAGCCCTTTGAAGCCCCGCGGCAAGAATTTAAACTATTTTTTTTCCTCTAGCCATCAGCTGGGACTCAGGAGGCAGCAATAGATTGGGAGTGGGTGGGGTAAGCGAACAGCCGGCGATCCAACAGAGCAGAGAGTGAGGGTGAGTGAAGGCGTGGGGGGCGAGAGAGGGCTTTGGCAACCCCTGTGAAATGGCCGTTCGACCCCCAAAGGGGTCGCGACCCCCAGGTTGAGAACCGCTGCCTTAGATGGAAAAAGATGAGCATCCTCTCCTGCCATTGGGCTCTCCCAACTTATTTCTCTACCACTACTCAGTTGGAAGGAGTGGCAGAGCCCAACCACATGAAATCAGCTTTTTTTATCGCGAGCTATTCTTAGCCACTGGCCAGCAGGAGAATTAGTGGGATACAAAAGGAGCTTTTTTATGTTCATCTACTGATGGAGGTGGGGGAAAATATGCCATGCAATAGGACACATCCTTCTTTGCATCTGAAGCTGAGAAGTAGTTAGAGAGTCCAGTATATGAAAGGAGCTTTTCTGCACTGAATACCAAGCTCACCTGTTACCAGTACTGAAGGATTTCCTATAGCCTGTACTGAAGCTATTGAGCCGCAAGGAACTCTCAGATGCTCTCTAGCAGGCTCCAAGGGATTTCTGGAAGCACTTAATCTGGGAGCACCCTTTGGCCAATCCTATAGGAGAGGGATTCTATTAGCCTTTTCCTTCAGCACTCACCAAATAAAATTCCTTTCTTAATGTAAGCCTGAGAGAAAATTTAATTTGCTTCAAGTAACATGGATGTTTTACTTCAGTCTTAGAAGAAAAGATACCATTTTTGCACCATAATCAACCTCAAGTAGGTATTTAATTCAAAGGTTTATTGAAGCAAAGCATGTCTTCCAAGCTTCCCACCATCTTGCAACCTACATTATGCATCTTTTAAAATCCTCATGTCTTTCTTCAGATTCATAAACAAATGATCAGCACAGTGATAGGTAGGTAGCAGAGAATGTCTGGATTTGTCTTATGGATCTCTTTGGATCATGGCCCCAAGCCATACCCTAATCTACCCTCATCTAGCCTACCCTGAATTAAGGTAGAATAACAAGGTATAAAACTAGGCATACTAGCCTGTGTGCCATAATTGAAAATAGGGGCACAACTATTTCTGTGTGACTTGCTTATTCTTTCTTCCCCATACAACATAAATTTGTATTTCGCATAAATTCTGCGTATCAAAGGAATAGATTACAAGAGGAATATATTACACAAAACCATACATTAATGACTGAAACCAAAGCAGTGTTTGTGTCAAGCCCTGCAACTGCTAAGTACAGACAAGAAAACTCTGTCAAGGACCTTGGAGTACTCATATCAAATGATCTAAGTGCCAGAGCCCACTGTAACAACATCGCCAAAAAGGCATTAATGATTGTAAACCTTATCTTGCATAGCTTCTTCTCCAGTAATATTACACTACTAGCCAGAACATACAAAACATTTGCTAGACCAGTTCTCAAATACAGCTCATCTGTCTGGAACCTGCATTGCATATTGGACATTAATACAATTGAACATATCCAAAAATATTTCACAAGAAGAGTCCTCCACTTCTCTGCTTGCAACAAAATACCTTATGCCACCAGACTTGAAATTTTGGGCTTAGAAAATTTAGAACTACGCCACCTTCGGTATGACATAAAATCATCTGCTACAATGTCCTACCTGTCAATGACTACTTCAGCTTCAACCACAACAATACACGAGCACACAATAGATACAAACTTAAAGTGAACCACTCCAAACTCGATTGCAGAAAATACGACTTCACCAACAGAGTGGTCAATGCCTGGAATGCACTACCTGACTCTGTGGTTTCATCCCCCAACCCCCAAAATT